GAAGGTGGTAACTACTGGAGAACAGAGACATATGAAACCACCTTATTCCAAGTCCAACCATTGATCCTTCTACCTCAGGGTACTTTGATTGGCAGCAGCATTCAAGTTTTGGGGCAAAATTAGGCAACAACACACTCACTTGGGAACAGGATTTCTTTGGGCTATTTCAGGCTGTCACAGGAGGGGGAAGATGGGGGAATCACACTCTGTGGACGGAAACCCCTGCACCCATGGAAATGGTAGTCTGGAAAGGACTAGGGAACCCATTAATCTTTCTTGTTCTCCATCAGCTTGGATCTGACTGTACTGAGTCAGAACACTGGTCTAATATTCCTCCAAATGGCAACATGTCTTTCCTAATACTGCTGTCTGAGATGTTTTTACTAGAGATGCCAGGGAGTGAAAAAAAAGAGAAAGAACTTGTGCACTTATGTGAGCCAGCCTGTCCAGTAGATGTACCTAGACAATTGACCAGAGCACCAGTCTGCCCCAGAGCTGGAGGGGCACCCAGGCAGCCCTCCCACAGCATCAGAAGACCAGCCACGATGGGTGGCATTACAGTGTGACACCTAAGTGGCAGGCAGGGCCTTCCCTGTCACCTGGTCTGGGTTGGGATTAGGAGGGATGGCACTGTGGCAAGTGGCAGCCCCCAGGCACTGGCATGCGACACTCATGCACCCAGACAGTTTGCAAGGCCTTCCCCTGTTACTGAGGCCAGGATTCGTGGCAGGGGTTCCATGGCAAGCCTCAGCTTCAGAAGGTAAGGGTGGCTTTAGTGGGGCCAGCTTTCCTGTGGCACAGGGGAGGGCAAAGTCAGTGGCCCAGGATGCCAAAAACCCTCCGGCCAGCCCTGCATCAGGCAAGCGCTCTGTCACTGAGCTGTGGGCCCTTCTCCATAACCTACATGCACCCAAATGGAGCTCGTCTACCTTACAAGTTACAGGTGTGCCCAGGAATGTAGAGGTACACCCAGGAACTTTACAGACCTTCATGACACTGAATTGCTCAGTGCTGGATTTGTTCTTGTAAACTAGTGAAAAATAATACAGAGCTGCAGAACATATTCCATGTACCCCTAAAGACTGTCTAGTTTTAAAGCAAGTTGGGACAAAGTCCCATTTATATCATCCAGTCTTGGCCATTTTTTCTTTGCCTAGCTGCCACATGACAATACTGTCCCTAGAGGGCAGCTGAAAAGACAGCATCTACCAAGTTTTCTGAATATGCCAGACTTCTGACATGAATGAATCCATGAAGCTGCCTTACATTAAATCAAATCCTTGGTCCGTCACAGTCAGTACTGTTTGTTCAGACTGGTGGCAGCTCTCCAGGCTCTCAGGAAGAAGTCTTTCATATCACCTCCTACCTGAACGTTTTAACCGGAAATGCCAGGAATTACGCCTGAGACGTTCTGCGTGCCAAGCAGACACCCTACTACTAGGATTGCCAGCCCTCAGCTGGCAACCCCAGGAACTTTTGGGAGTGGGGCTAGGTGGCATGTGGCATTGTGCAATGCCACGTGGAACAGCAGCGTCACTTCCTCTCGTATAACCAAAAGTGATGTCATGTCATGCATCACCGCGACTCTCTAGCTGCAACGTGTGACATCATTTACAGTTATGTGACTAGAAGTGACCTGCAGTGTTATTTTTCCCAGGATGATTTCTCCTGCTGCTGCACTGGACAGTAGAAGGCAGTTAGAGCCATGGTCCCTCCTCTTCTCCTCTATGGACTGAGGGAGAGCAGGTAATTTATGGTGAATAGGGAAGTCACAATTTTTATATCCCTCATGAAGCAATATGAGCTTTGGTCAAAGTGGTAATCAGTCCTAGTGTGTTCTAATCACCAGTTCTCAAACTTTAGCAACCTAGGAGCTCCCATTTTTACAGACCACCAAGCCCCCCTTGAATCCCCCACGGTCATCAACCGTGCACCAGACAGCCCACTTTCAAAGTACATGGCAGGCCGTGCATACCTTATGGAAGGCTCCGTCCCCTCAGTACCAGCCACATTAAAGGTAAAGGTTCCCTTGCTCGAAAGCCAGTCGAGTCCGACTCTAGGGTTGCGGTGCTCATCTCCGTTTCAAAGCTGAAGAGCCAGAGCTGTCCGAAGACGTTTCCGTGGTCATGTGGCTGGCATGACTAAACACCAAGGCGCACGGAACGCTGTTACCTTCCCACCGAAGCAGTACCTATTTATCTACTTGCAATTTCTTGCTTTCAAACTGCTAGGTTGGCAGGAGCTAGGGCCAAAGACGGGAGCTCACTCCGTCATGCGGCACTCGGGTCTCGAACTGCTGAACTACCGACCTTCCAGCCTGCAGTTCAGCGTCTTAACTACTTGAGCCACTGCAGCTCCTGACACATTAGCTACTCGCTAAAAGCAAGTTTAACGGAAACGATTGTATTATTCATACAACATGGTCAGATCTCAGAGGCAGTAAGTTCTCTAGGGCCACGACCCCAAATTACCTAAGATATAATGAATATCATACCTTGATGGGAAGGGATTTTTTTTTTTTTTTTTTGCTGGGGATAATCAGAAACTACCTTGTTGGTTAATAACTTCAGACCAAAGGCTGGCTGAACAGGTGTGGGAAGGGGCATAAAAAAAGATTCAGAGTTGCTCAGAGAAACACAATGACCAGCATCACACAAAATTTTGAACTGCTGTTATTCAGCTGAAAACTGCAATTGGCTATTATTGTCTATGGACATCGAGTAGACCAGGGCTCTTTTTGTAGAAAAAGCCCAGCAGGAACTTATTAGCATAATAGGCCACACCCAACACCAGAAACTCATTAGCATATTAGGCCACACCCCTGCCAGCACAGCTCATTAGCACATTAGGACGCACCCCCATGTTACCAGAAGTGTGGTTATCCAGCCACACCCACCTTTTGCTTGTTATTCTGTTTACCTTGTTTGTTGTCAAAACACAGGGCTTTTTTTGTAGCAGGAACTCCTTTGCATGTTAGGCCACACACCCCTAATGAGCAGGCTTTGTTTTGACATTAGCTGGATGGGAATGAGATATCCCTCCTAGATCTCCCAGCGTCCCTCAACTGCAGATTGAGAAAAGCTGAAATAAAGACTACTTTTGATGTCCCTAAACTAGAAGTCAGTACTTCATCCAGATGAACGTACTTAGCAGGTACTGCATTCTTTTGAAGGGATGCCAGTTGCTGGTTTACACTAAACATTTGCATCATAACACCAGTTATACCTGTTTGCCTGGCACAGCTAGCAGAGGTGCACTATGGATATGGCTCGCACTAAGGGAGCCACGTTTGGGAGATCACCCTGTTCTGCTTCCCCAAAGGATCTTGTATTAGGAGTGACAACAAAGAAACCTGCTCCACTTCTTCAAATAGGAGTGTCTTCGTGTCAGCAGTTGCAATGACCATTTTTATGCTATATTTCTTCTTCCAGAGATCAGCTGTTTTTACCTAGTCCTTTCTAGGACCCAGAGTAGTGGTGGTGGTGGTGGTTAGAGAGAGGGTGATTAAGATGCATCATCTTACTCGCACCCTTGTCTATTATGATAAACTGAATTAATCCTGATTTCAGCCACCTGGAACACTGTATCTGCCCCTCCCCCTGCTGCTCCATCTTTCCAAAAGTCAGACTCTTCGTTATTTTCTATAATGACCAATTGAACATTAAAGCCATACGGGATGGGAAGGAACGATCCCAGAGATATCGATGTTAAGAG